TTTCTCCCAATACAAACAGAATATCTGTACATGGTCACTCTCAGTGGTGAAAGCCTCCAACCTCGAACAATTTTTTGATCTCTATGGTACTTACAAATTTTGACTTGCTCTTGATAACCTGCTGTAACTGTCCATAAACCTGCACCAGTAAGCAAAGAAGAAAACTTCACCAGAACAGGAGCAAGAACACAAGGATGTTGAAATCAGAATGCTGATGAACACCACTTAAAATATTTTATACTGAGTTTACAAGCGAGTAAATTCTCAAGTTTCAAGCAGCAAAGTGAAGTAATTTGGTAATTTTTTCACTTTAACATTTCTCTTCTCTGTGGCCATGTAAAATGGCCAGCATAACTAAAACAAATATACTGACCTTATTAAAAGAGCTAGAAAAGCTGACTACAGTACTCTCAATTTCAAAACATATGTGAACTAAAAAAAGTGGTTTTCTTCAGTTTCAGCAATCTTAGTAGTGGGTAAAGGGCTTCAGGCAGAAGACTTGTTTCAGGTTGTTCAGCTCTTGGAATCAAGAACAAGCCCATACCAAGTATAATACCACTAAAATGTGCTAGTCCATCCTGTTGCTCCACGTATCCACGTACATGCTACACAGGAGAAGTACTTAAAAAAAAATTCACCAGCCCCAATAGACTGGAACAAGACAACTGAAAAGCTACAGCAGGAAACATCTTCAGAATGTAATCTTTGCTATAAAACTGTTTCTAGACCTTATGGTCATGCACATGGCTTAAGTATGAAAAGAATGTAAACAGGTGGAGCAGAATTTTCTTCCTGCAGCTGAAGACAAGCTCCTGCCATTTGTAACTTTACAAAAAACCAACATGCATGATGAAATTAACAAATCTCCAAGTAGTTTTACAAACTTACCCTCTGACAGTTGTGCTGTGGCTAAGGTACTGAACGGTAATGACATGCTGCTGTAGTTTAAAAGAAAAAGCAACAGCAGAAACAGGTACAAGAGATCTTCCCTGCAGAACGTCATCAAAGAGAAGCTGCAGAAGGCACTGAACAAAGCACCCCCCATGCCCACACCAAGATTCTTAACTTCATAACTGGGTATGTTAAAGAGGGTGAAGTGGGGCCCAGCCTCAAACAGAAGAGGTTTGCCAGCATAGCCCCTCTTCATGTAGGCAATATTTGTAAGAGCAAAACTACTTCCTCACTCCGCCCCCAGTATAACTGGGTCAATACCAAGGCTTTAGCCAGTATCAAAGTGTCAGAAAAGTAATCACCACTCATAAATCAATGTTACTATGCTGACAGAAGCTGCTAGTGTAGACTAGACCTAGGAAAAGGCCTCCCTTCCTTCCGGTACCTGGGAAGGAAGAGGAAAAAAGTATCAGATATCTTGTTCCTTGTGCAGAGCTTCAATTTTTTCAGACTTATAAATCAGGAACCAGAGAACAAAGCCCCAGCCAAGACATTCAGGTAGAAATCCCAGCATCCTTCACCGTGTCTGTAGTTGGCTCTTCCCACCTTTAACCACATTCTCCTCACCACAAAGTTAGCCTTCCATCTAACTAAATGTTAGAGAGTTTTTCAAGCCTTGGCTCAGACTACTGCGATCAGGATGAATAAAGTATCTACATAAGTCCTTACTGATATGCCTTAATCTAAAGTAAAATCACTTGCTTTTATATATTTATTTTTGTTCTGATGAGAGATGATGGAAATTATCATCTGATTTAGAATGCATATACTGCAGAACATGGCACATATGTGTAAGGACTCACATGCGTGATGCTTCAACCATCACATGTACTCCCTTCAGTAGGATTATTCAGTGCTCAGGAGACAGAGAATTCATCATGCATTAAGACTGGCTCATCAACAGGTTTGCACATGGTTACAAGGATCTATACTGCTGGATAGCAACATAGATCTAGGGTCCCAGTTGAGTGACTACTTTTGATTTAACTGAGAGAGAAAAGCCTGTATTTTAATAGCATGTGTACTCTAAAGAGAAGAATGAAGAGTCATACTAAAGTCTTTAAAAGTCTATTTAAGTACTTCACATGGCTTTCATCTTAAGAGTATGCGCCCCCAAAATGAGGTTGTAATGCCTTCCATCTGCCTTGTTACATGTGATATTCATCATGCTTTACACCTAAGTTTTTGCCTAGCACAGAAGTGCTATTCTCACTCATTTCTAGACTTAGCAACTACATTTAAAAATGCATGATGTGCTAACAGTTATAAACATAAAATGAATTCCATGTTATAAGCTTCCTCTATAGCTATTTTCTTCTTCCTCAATTCAGAAGTCTGTCACGTACTAATGCCCCTGCAAATCAAGAAAAATGCTTTTTGTTTATTAAAGGTTTACTATTCAGATACAAAAATGTCTGGTACAAACAGCAACAATTATTAATTACTGTAAATATAAACTGGATTGTGCATCATTATAAAAAGCAACAGATGGCAAAGTACAGGATACTAAAACAATGAATGCAAAGGGTTTTTCCTGCTCCTTCTGCTTCCCTTTACCCCACCCCAAACTAACAAAGAAATTACTCGGGAATACCACTTATGTTTTAGAAAGCACTTTTTAAGTCGCACAGTAAATTTTTTTCCTTAGATTTACTGAGAAATAAGACTTAAAATATGTTTTAGGGTGTTAAGTATAGTTGAAAAGTTTGATCTTCACGCATTTTCTGCATTATTTTATACTAATGAAAACCATCTCCATTTACCAGGTTTGAGAGTACTCTTCCCTGTGAGCCCCAAAGCATTCTCTGTCAAACTTCTAACAAAAGGTACAGCCTTACAAAAACTGTTACAATCCAGTACTAACATCCAATGACAAGCAGATTTCCAGTATAGATGGCAAAAGCAGGTTGAAAGGAGAGATGAAATGTGAGCTCAGTAGTTTTACATTTCAGAGGGGAGAACCAAGCCCCATCCCTAAAGTATATAAAACCTTTAACTTGAGAATTACTCCAAGAATTAATATAGTATTAAATATCCATTATCTGTTCCTCTATTTTCTTAGAATTACCAAGCCAAACAACATGAACTATTTATTTAAAACGAAGCCATTACCAAGCAAGTAAACTGCTTCAACAGGTAGAAAGCAGAAACATGAGAACCAAAAGGGAGCAGGTCACCCAATTGGTCTCTCTTCTTAAACATGAAGTCCTTTTTAATTAAAGATGGATTGATATACACAATAGGCACAGACAGAACTACAGCTGTGCTGACTGTAGATTCACCAATAGTTTGGTTACCATGGGGACAAAAGGTTGTGTTGCAGTCAAATTCACATGCCCTGCCATTTTGACTGCATCCAGCTATTCCCATTCATCAAGAAGCAAAATGCTAATATCTGTATCCATACTTCAAAACTGTCTTCATCTGCTTCCTCTTAAGCGCCTTTCCTGCTCACAATTTAGTACAGTTTAAGCATACGTAGAGGATTCAGACAACACTAGGCCGGACAGCAGTGCTCTTACACTGCATGCAATTTGAGCCTGACAAGTAGCTCTCAGTGACCATGGGTCAGACAGAAGCTACCTCTGTGATGTATAGTTCCTTACAAAGGGAATGTTGAGCTAGTGACTAATAAAAAAAATACAGATTCCTCAAGAAAGGAAAGCAAGAACAGACCTGAAGCTAACTCCGGAATGGTATATCCTCCAAAAAGCCACTAATTAACACTACAGATGACTTTGGTTCATTAAGTAAGAACACCATTAAAAAAAAAAAAAAATCACAACAATAAATTCTGAGGTTGCACTGCCAACTCAAAACTCCACTGACAAGGCTCCATTGTGATGCCATTATCATGACTCACCAAAGAAAAAAACATATTGCATCAATTCTGTAGTCCTCTATTACTTCATTCACTGTTACTTCATTACCTGGATCCTGGTGATTTATGGACCCACAGACAACAATTTTAGCAGCTATAAATTCTACCACAGTAAATAAAATGTTGACTACAACACACCCTTGAGCATGTACACCATAAAAAAATTCAGATCTGGCACAAGGCTGTTGCAGGATCCAGCCAAATGTTACCAGGTGAATAAGAGTGCCTGCTCTCCTACTGCACCAAAAAAATTCCAGACCTTAATGTGTAGTTGCACCAAAAACCCAAAGCCAAATGGATCCTGGCAGCTTCTGGCACCAAACTGTACAAGCATAAGCATGCCATTAAAGAAAATGCAGGTCGTGTCAGACTGTCAAAACATCAAAATATTAGTTACTCCTTCAAGAGCCAGATGTCTTGCCATATTTTAATTCCCAACTATGAGAATTATATGAGCTGAAGAGGAGGACAATGACAATCCCAGAGCAAAACTCCAGACTGCATGGCAAAGACAAACATCCAGCACCTGGAGCCTGGCGGATCCTACAACTGCACTGTAAAAATAAACAACATATGCTGCCATTACGACTTAACAGAAAAATACAGACTCCAGCACATCCCAGTGCCACAGCAACCCAAATTAAAAATCTAGCACTTGGATCTTGACACCTCCAGCAGATTTTTGCCTGGAAACTGCCGAAGCCTCCTGCAACAACAGAACGGAAAAGTAGTTGATCCTAACCTAACGCACTAGTTAAGCTTTAGTTGCATGTACATCGGGGCACACACAAGACCTTAAAAAAAAACCCTGCATGTGCCAAAACCATTTCCCACCCCCCTTCCATCTCTAAACGTTTCACCTTGTAACAGGACAAAAGAAGGGTCTGGTCCTATCCCACCTGAGGCATCAGACCCTAGTGCACACGTCCCGGCCATCCTAGTCTGTTCTGCCCGAGTCTTTAAAAAAGAACAGACAGACACACGCATGGCTTCACCGCCTTCTCCGCTTGTGGGGACTGGGCTGTGAGGTGCAGGAGAAGGCAAGTGACAGGAGGAGCCACGGGCCTGGACCGTGAAGGTGCAAAGGCCCAAGGGCCACCTGGGGGCCCCAGGGATTTGCCAAGGCTGGGGGAAGGAAGGGGCTGGACAGAGCAGGGCAGGGCCTCACCTCCTGGATGCGCTTGCGGGCCCGCTGCAGCACCTCCTCGTAGCCCTTCTGCCGCAGCTCGCTCAGGCTTTCATAGTACTCCTCGGGGTCGTCCGCCTCAGTGAAGAGCACCTGAGAGAGGATCTTCCAGCCGCATGTGTCCAGGCCATGGCCCAGGTAGACCTGCAGCTGGCAGCACAGCGCATCCATCTCGGGCTCGCACAGCGCGGGCGGCCCGAACAGCACGGACCACATGCCCGCCGGCTCCTCGGGGAAGGCGGGCAGGCAGGGTTTCAGGTCCGAGCTCACCGAACACAGCTGCTGGTGCACGGCCCGCAGGTCCTGGAAGGAGAAGAGCCCGGCCCAGCTGCACTCCTCCCCGCCCGCAGCCTCCTCCCTGCCCGCCTCCAGCTCCTCCGCGTCCTCGGCCGCCGCCCGCCGAGC